CTATGGCTAACGCGATTCTATCTGCTTGATTAAACCTCGGTTAGTGGAGAGGACAACAACTATCTATCCCCTACATTTCAATCAACCAAGCGTTATCCGCTAGTCTACTGAGCCATATGAACCATCTTACGTGCTGGGGGCCTCAATTATTACTTAATGAAGTCATGGTAACTTCACTAAGTATAGATACTACGACACTGGCGACGTAACAAGACAGAAAATCTTTAAAAGTTGGTTTACATGGATGTGACTTCAAGTTTGATCAATAACTGAAATCAGTTAGAGAACCACTGAAAACAAAGGAGTACTGAGCAGCAGTTTCTTCCTTGTTTGAGACTCCAGCAGTACGTACTTAGAACCTTCAAGGTTACAAGGTGAGTTCATTGACCATTCAGCCAATGATGCGGAATCCAATGACCAATCAATTCTAACTCCTGTCAATTCATGATATATAGCTTGACTCCTGGCCATTGTCATTGGTGAGTACCTGTTCTTAGGCCTAACTTAGTGGACTTTTCTGGTTACGACTTTCCAGTAGGACTTCAGGAAACTTCATCCTGCAGTCAGTCACTAGTGAGTAACCAGATTAATTCTCAAGTGCTGGTTCGTAGACTATTTGATTGACTTCAAGTATGATCACAAACTGATCAATGATTCTATATCTCAAGCAGGTTAGTAATCAAACAAAGAAGTCATTGTAGAAATATATGACAAAGTAGGATATTTGATAAACAAGGATTACTTTAGAAGAAAATAAGGAAATTATTATTTATTCAAATACAAACTTATATGTCGTTGGCATTAAGAAATCCAAATACACAAAATACTGTAACAACAGGATGAGGGGATGGAGGAAAAGGTTAGAGGATAAAGCAATGGACAAGTAAGTGATTTCACTAACTACAGTTCATAGAACTTTCCGTCTATGTCTTTGTATCACTGCTGATAATATAAGGGGGGAAAAGGACAATGACTGCCACTGATCTCTATTCTAATCTGCATGTGATACTATCAAGAACCAGTTAATGGCAATATTGTTTAGACGCAATTTACGAAATTATAATATGTCAGTCCGTCAGCGGTTCAACAGTAGGACGCAAGCCAACCACATTTAATGTGGTCTGCGGTTCAATCCTTGGCTGATACCCTAATAAACCTGATTAAGCTGGTAGTAAGGCCGGTAAAGAGGGAAGGTTTGCAGTAAGGCTAGCAAACTCACCTCATAAAAATACAACAACTGCTACCGAAACTTCGAAACTCTAGCTTGAAGCCCTATGTTCCATTCGGAATGCTAAGGAATAAAAAAGTGTGCAAGTAGACTTTTATGTCATACCAGTAATCTTCATCCGCGACGGGAAGTGATGAGACGACTGCGAATGCACTTTTTCAAACCATCCTGAGGAATAACAGATAGTCACCAGTATAGTCTTTTCTCTATAACCATCTGTAGTCATCAGATTGCTTTTGTCACTATAGGTTCATTTTCTCCTCTCATCTGGGAGTTAACTGACAAAGGGGAGATGATGAATATGCATTTCTAACAAGTCACAATAGATTGATTGAAACGAATGGTCTAACCGGGCTAGTTGGTTAATATTTATTCCAGACCATTAGTTTGTATGAACTTCAGAATTTGAAAGGCATAAATGACACATACATATCTTGGTTATATATTACTCTGAGAATACTACGCGTAACTTTTCTCTATTGATCAATTCATATAAAAAAAAGATAAGAACACCCAAGAACAACCATCTGCTTCCGCTTGGTGTCAGGACAGTATATTAGTCAACACAATTAGAATTTCGAGAGGATAGATACGTAAAAATTATTAGTGTACATAGTATACATGTACGACGTTGTATGATTGCTAGATCTGTCACTTATGATGGTAATTTTCCTAAATCCCCAACAGACTTGAGGTAATCTACAAGTCTTTATGCAGCTAAGATCAATACATTAGAACTTCATTGATTGTGAACATGTTTTAGTCAGGTCATTATTGATTTCTGATAACTTGATTCTACACGGAATAACTGTGACTTTGGCACAGACATTAAATAATTAAGTTATCAAATTCACCACAGGTTTATATTTATGTAAACAGGTATGGCGCTTAATGCTACATTTACTCTGAGAGTTAACTGAAATAATTTAAAAAGTCTAACGGTACTTTACCTGAGTACATTATATATTTAGACCTATCAGATAATAATGGTCATTTGATAATGAGTGTAAATCACTGCATATTCCAAGTGTAATCATGAAGTATCATTGGATAGAAAACCATTGAAAGCCAAAGAGTACTTGACAGTTGTCTCCTCATTGCTTAGGACCAAGCGATTCAGCCCATAACTATTAGGAATGTAAGGCCAGTTTGTTGATGATTTAGCCGCGGAAATGAAATCCTAACTCCTGACATTTTGTGATGTGTAACACACCACTGCCAGCCAGTGTAAACTATAAGGATTAGACCTCATGCCTGACTTGGTGAAGCTTAATAGTCACAACTTTTTACTAGAACTCGAGAAACTGCATCCCGTAGTCAGTCACCAATGAGCCCTAGATTGACTTTAAGCCTGGTCACTAATTGAGAAGTTCCAAATCAAGACAGAACACATGTCCAGTACTCCATGGTTTCCAGTAGTTCACTCAATGATTTCAGTTCATGATCTAACTTGAAATCAACTAAATTTCTGAAAATCAACCCTTGAAAACATTCAACTTCTTTCGATATATTTTAAAATTCAATCACATGATATAATCAGCTTTTGGTTCGTAGACTGTTATCGCTCTTTTCTTATGATCATAATTCTCTCCAAAGCTGTGTGTGAATATTAAAAACTGAAGTCTATAAGCTATAATTACTTGTATCATTTTAGTGGTGTCTGTCTACTATAAGTATCCTAAGCAACTGATTTTATCATCCTAGTGATCTTATTCGTGGAAAAATTTCCATTGTCTAGTGGATAACGCTTTGATATTTGAGGAGAAGAATCCTGAGTTCAAATCTCATGAAGATACCATCAATCAATGGGGATGGGCACACTCAGCCGACGAGTTCCGAGAAGGACAAGACGTCTATTCTGAATTCTATCTTTAGCAGCCACCGAAAAAAAAAAGAAATATGCTAGTAGTTAGCGAGTTTTGGCAAAATGAAACTGGCTGTCTTGTGTTTCCATTCAATATTATAATGCTAACCACAGTCTATTCACTCTAGATTTCACTCATTGGATCAAGCACTCGACTCCAAGATAATAACGGGCTCCACGTTCAAATCCCGTCCTGCCCACTTCATCATTGGTAAGTAAATAGCATTATCAGTTGCTCAGTGAGATTAATGAGTGGCCACCGGGTAACTTATTTCTGACCAAACAACTATTCACAATGAATCTATCCTTAGCCTACAATACTGGTCAACTGAATGCCAGTTAGATTTTGTTTAATAATAACTAATGCTCTTTTCGACATTAAGTTGTAAAGTAGAATTCTATAGCTGGTCTCTAAGAGAAAGTCAATAAATATAGCCAAAAAATTAATTATGAACTTAAATGTCCAGATGTAAATTTACTGATGCGTTTTGGTACATGAACACCTTATGCGGAAATTTCGCCTTCACCGTAATTGCAACCTTACCTTTCGCTGAGCGAAGCTAAAAGAGGTCTTCTAATCTAACTTATTAAAATTGCTCTCAAATCACAAGTATTGTCAAGACAATCGTCTGGATGTCAAAGAAGATGAAAAGCTCACTTATTTTGAACAGAATTTTCACTAACCTGCCTACTTAACCACTTATAGACAAGATTAAAGGGATGTAGTAAGATTCGAGACTAAGATGAACTATCTGAAATTCAAATAAAAATGCCAATTGGTCATATCTCCAGAATAAGATTGACAACTTGGTCTCTCCAAGCTGCAGATGAGTAGCAGTTTTATGCGTCTAGTTGTCAGTCTTTCTATAGACCCACTTTCATTTAGGTTAAGGGACATGTGAATAATTCTGAGGTTCAATAAAACTATTTGGAAAAGATGGGTGTCATCTTAAGGTATTGGCTTTAGTGATTTGGATATGTTTGTCGATTTGATACCAGCGTATTCCGTATCTCTGGAACTAATCAGTTTATGTTGTAGGATAGAACAGTTGATCCATCTCAATGTCTATTAATACACTACGATCCTCTGAATAGGATCAGATAGATCATGTCACTTGTCAAAAAAAGATGTTATCAGATTTGGCTTAAAACCTAAACACTTTTATTTTCGCTAGTTAATTTCTCAAAATATGTGGCAACAGAAAGCAATGCACCAGTCGGTCAGGTTTTCATTTGCAAGCACTACACGGTCATGGAAGGATTCTGGCACTAAGGTATCTGTCATTGATAAACAGCATACTAACTAATACAATTAGCTAAATAATGTCTTGAACATAAATTTCCTAAATGATGTAAAATTTCAAAGGACATGGAATTAAACAATATATATAATTAGTTGCCCTGGATTTCAAGTGGATACCTCAAAAGCCACAGACGTATAGCATACTGAATGTCATTTAATTCGCTATTTTTGAAGTTAAACCCCAAAAGACGCACTACGATATATTAGTTAAATGAATCATTAAGAAGGTGCTACTGGCAACGCATTATGAGATGAAATTATCATAGGTTTCTTGGAAATTAGTTAATATCTTTCTTGCTTGAAATTTAGTTTTCAAATTATGCTCACATCAAAGACAGACAAGGATCAAGTACATTTCCGAACTCGAATACACTTCAAAAAGCTATTTTCATAAAAAGAAATCAAGTTACAAAGTCATCGAACACTCAATTACATGAACATTAGGTTCTGATGATTTATCTAGTGGAAACCAGTACTTCAGAAAAAGAGTCGATAGAAAGAGACCAATATAAATTTTTGCCGCATTAGAGACCTTTGTTCCATACTTCAGCTTTAATTTTATCTTAAAGAATAAACTAAACCTTATAATTAAAAATAATACTCACCGACCGTTTAACTTCATAAAATACCCATATTAAGGAAGCTGTATAATATCCGAGTTGTATCATGTAATACCAGTGAATTTCCGTAGGCATAACCTAATATGAGAGAAAGGAAAATGAATTTAAACCATTTAATAAAATATGCATATTATGAAACTCAGAAAATTCAGAGTCTAAACAGATGAGTTGATTTCCACAAAAATACAAACAATTTATCTAAAATTTGATTTTTATACATTCAGAATATTTAAAGATAGAAAGCCGATAAATTCATTTCACAAGTAACTTCATTTAGAAAAGGATAAAGAAAGCAATCGGATTATGGCGAATTTTTCGTTGACATCACTCTCCAGGAGGATGAGTAGAAATTCATACCATAGCTTGGCGTAATAGAACTATTCATTTGAGCCTGTTTCCTTGAAGACCCATATCCAGTTTATTACTATGAAATTTTATTCGGAAATTTCCCTGTTCAAATATTAATTTTTGTCTTATTGATATAAGAATAAAACTTGGGCACTGTGGTAGAGTATAACTCCATTATAGATAAGATTTTATTTTGATAAATCACGCAGCGTTATACAGCAACATTAACTGATGACATTTCGAGCACAAACTACTGCTCATAATCATATCAAGACTTGATATGATTAATGTGATTAATCAAAATAAAATCCTAACCATAATGGAGTTACAATTTGTCTTTTTTTGTTGGCTTACGATAATCCTAAATGCTGGGTGAAATACTGAAAGTCATGGGAAAATTTCATTCGTAATAAAGTGAAGCTTTTATCACATTTATTTTGTGAAAAAAAGACTTTATTTAACATATATCATAGGAGCCTTTCTCAGTCATCAACTACACTAAATCGTCTTTTTTTAAATCATTGGTCTAAAAAAGTTAAATTGCATTTCTTAGGACGTAAAGTCACGCCGAGAATGACTACCTTAATTCATCACAAATTTACAGATATTTCCAAATCACTAAGATGAAACATAAGGTCAAATTCTAACAACATCATGTGTGCTGTATACCTAGGTCCAAAACCTCATGTTCTTTCCCCCCACATCCCTAACAAAAATAAGTTCATCAATTAATTTAGAGCTACTTTTCAGCTTTTGCCTGACTACGAATTCGAACTAGCATTCCTAACCATGAATCCGTCTTGTATAAAACACCTTTTGCTTCAGAAATAACAGCTATCATAAGACTAGCTATAGTAGGTTTGTAAAAAACTAACGAATAAGAGGCAAATAAAAAGAAAGTGATTCCTAGTGCCTAAATTAAGGCTACATGTTAGCTGTTTCAAAGTCACAAGCAACAAATGTTAAGTTCGATATGTTTAGAAAACTTACATAATATGGATAATTCTGCATGGCATCTCTAACATCCCACAAGTAGGACTTCTAAAAATCACTTAATTAGTTAAGTTAAATCAAACGTACTTTGTATAATGAGAATAATCCATAAACGAACATAGTGGTATAGTAACAAAACTTCCACCTAATGACTCTGATTATATTGAATCCCACAGTAATTACTCAGACTCCACAAATTTTACGATTATGGGGGACTTCTCCCGATTACGTCTTCTTCGAAACCATACTTCGACCATACGCTCACTTAGCTTTAGCGACTTTGCAATTTCCTGACATATATTTGACCAGAATAAAGGGATTACCTTGATTCGATCACCGTTTGGCCTTTTTTCTTTATAGTAGACTTCCTCTAATAGCGGTATATGAGGAACGCGAGTCTGTTTCGGGGCTCGTAAGCCCATTGACAAACCATGGGATAAAAACACAAACCTGAACCAATAATACAAATAATATGCACGAACATACTCCTTGAGATAGTGACGAATAACTGTGAGAAAAACTACAACATACAAACAATCCATTGATTTTCTCAATGTTGGTGCAACTCCAACTGAATTAATTTCCTCTATTAACTCCCATGTAACATTAGCAGGAAACCAGAAATTTTCGTTCCATATTACAGACCCCATCCCGCAATAAAAACCAATTGATTTCAGTACACCCGTTCAGATAAAACGACACAAATGCTAATAAAGTTAAGTCCTCGAAACCATAGCAACCGAAAGGAATGATATTTATAAACCGCGGTTGAAATAGGCGTCGAAAGATTACGCAGTTACACAGTTTGAAGTAATTTCAACTAATTAGTGATAGAAAGATTAAAGAAACCTCGAATTACTTAGTTTCCAGGCAGATAGCTTTCATTTCTTCTCTCATTAAGCTACGTACAAAACCAAAGAAAGCAACCTGAAATTTCCAATATCGTTTCCACGAGCTAGTGTGAACCAGTTTGATTTCTTTGTGCTCGCTTCTTGATTGTGAAGTTAAGATTCTTGATCTTCGGTAAACTTCTGTGTATTTCTTCCTGCCATTCGAATTTTGTAGCTTTGGTTGACTCCCAAAGGAGTAGTGCTGGGATTAATTATATGTTGTTTGTACTATGCGGTGTGTTAAGACTTTGTTGCTACTGTGAATGGAGTTGGCCCTTTCACCAGTTAGTCCTGTGGTATCGTCTTCAGAAGAAAAGATATTAATAATAGATATAATTAGTGTAAGTTATTCAGACTAGAAGACAGAGAAAGAAATAAAGAAAACATGCTATTGATATAAGTATAAAACTTGGGCACTGTGGTAGAGTATAACTCCACTATGGATAAATTTTTATTTCGAAAAGTCACGAGTGCTTTTTAAGTTATAATAAGTAACTTATTAAAATTTTGTGATGTGCTTGAATTGAAGTAGAATTTTGAGATTATATATTATCCTGACTTGACTGGCTGTAATAATATCTTCCATATTTCTGGAATTTGCATTGAGTCATTCCTGCTGCATGTGTTGGGTGTAGACTCGATGAACCAGGATTCAGTAATCAATCTCTCTCCACCCATATAGATTACTTCATAGAATCTTAACCTTCTCCCACCCTATTGTGTGGTTGTGCGTTATTGCATGCAGTGCAACTGTTGAGCTTTTTTCTAAATTACTTATCTTCTCGGGTTAACCATTCTTACCTTAGCTAAATTCTTATGTTCCGACAATCTGATTACGTCCGATGTACTAGTCTGACCTATATAGTTGACCACACAGTCATTGCAAGGGATTTTGCAAATTATATTATTTTGTTTAATTGGGTCCACCGGGTCTTTTAGCCTACAGAGCTTGTCCTAGCTGAGTGAGTTTGAAGGTTTGAATGCCACCCTAATTCCTGCTTTATTAAGAATCCTACGTAGGGTCTCAGATGTCCCCTCCTTATATGGTATAACAGTAGATGCCTTATATTCTCTCTTATTTGTGTTATCATTACTAGTTTCACAATAATTTTTATTTTACTTTTGGTCTTTTCCGATCTTCCTAATGAATTTTATAGGATAGTTATTCAACACTAACGCCTCTTCTATATGTTTTATTTCATCATTTGGGTCTTTTCTTGTGCTACTTAGTGCCATTGCTCGGTTTGTTAAATACTTAACTAACAGACAACGGATGAGATGAATTAAAGTCTAAATATGTATTAGAATGCGCTGGCTTTTTATAAACGCTAGTGTATAGTTTGGCTTCTTCTATTCGTTTTAGTTTACAATCTAACATAGCTAATTCTCCTTGTTTCTTTTCCGATTCAAATGTGAATTTTATTCCCTCTACTAGTGAGTTTATATGTGTCCATAAGCTAGAGATATGTTCTGTTTTTAACACTGTGAAAGTATCTTCAAAACTAACCATTGTTTCGTCATTTTCTAGTTGAATGTCATTTAGTTTATTTTTCATCTCATATGAACTGGTTAGTCTAGAGTTTGAACGATTTCTAATGGGGCATAATATTAGAGCTAAGTGTTTTGATAATTCATAAGTAGGGGTATTTCTGAAATCTACTATTGGTCGTATGGGGTAATCTGGCTTACGTATTTTAATAGTACCATACATTCTACTAGCATAATTAGTTTTGGGCACTAAATTGAACCATTTAGACTCACCCAGAGACGGCTTCATTCTGCTTATTATTTCGGCTGTAGATTTCTTAACCTTAGTCATTATTGTATCTACAGGCTTCCTAGTTTCCTCATATGGGCCGTGGTAAAATGTTCAGTGACCTTCTATATATAGTACAATTTATCCAAACCTACGGTAGAGTTTCCTTTGTCAGCTTTTGCGATGACAATGTTTTTATCCTGTTTTAGACTAATTGGAGCTTCTCTTTCCGATTTTGTTAAGTTCGATTTTGCCACGTGCGTTGGTGGCGTAGTGGTTAGGACTCTCGCCAACCATGCACATGTTCCGGGGCTCGGTCTCCTGCCGGCGCAGGCCTACAAAATTTGGGCTACCAACATCACATGCTGAAAATTCCACACTTGTACCAAAAATACTGCATGATTTCAAGCTATAATCGAAAATAAAATATAAAAATTTCAGGAGGGCAGTGAATTACCTACCTAACATACGTCCCTTAGTCCCTGTCTTTTATTTGTTTGTCTACAAATCCTCCTTCTTTCCTTTATACACTATCAGTGTTTTATGACCTATCTGGAGGACTGTCTGATGAGATGAAATTTAAATTACAAGCAGCCATCACTGAAAATTTATTCCACAACGGTTCAACGTTCCTACTTCTTCTTCACTTATCTGCATATCGTCTTTAAGTGTCCAACGCGACACGTTCAATCAGTTTTCGCTCAAGAGCCTTCCTGTTATGCGATGTCACTTGAAGCTCTCCTCAGAGTGTGTCAAATTCATGCCTATTCCCTTCGGAATAATTGTTGGGCAATAGAGTGTTAGCTGGCTGGCCGAGCGTAATCTGTAATAATTTGAAGGGCAATCACACATTAGTTGTGGAGGTAATACATTTTGTTGTTGTAGTGGCCTTTGTGGGGCTGCCTATGCATAAAGTTCACCATAATCTGGTAACCACTCTGGACAATCACCAGAAATAAATTACCGCATTGGTGGCAGTTCACTAAATGCCCGTGTCGGCTAGAAGTCGTGTGGTACTGTTTCTACTGGGATAGTAGAAATAATTATAATCACGCACCTTACACAACGCCCTCAGTGCTTAACAAACACCCGACACCTAAGGAACGGTATATTCCTCGGAAAACGTAGGCGACATCGTTCGCTGACATCGAATATCGATATTATTATCCCCGATAGTGATACATAAAATGCTTACAGTACACCGTATTCACGATTCTACTGCAGAACAGTTCACCCTCAATTATCAAGCCAATTGACATTTTTTCGTGATCTGGAGATAGTAGTTGGTGAATTCAATAACATGTACACAGCTGATGTCTACAGAATGTGTTGTCGTGACGTTGCCCGCATGCTCAAACCATTTGGCTAAAGTCTGTTTGCTATCCTCCTTTTACTCTAGATAATTTCTGAGCAAATACTGCTTATAACTACTGAAGCCAGAGCCTCAAATAAAAATGACTAATAACAACTTGAGAATTTATAACTACAATATTTTTTCGAGGGGACGGAAGGGCTTTAACTGACACGAGAAATCCGTTTGACCGAAACGTTTATAACGAGTTCAACGGATCAGTGTAAGCCGATGCGAGGGTTATCGGGAATTTGATCGTCATTTTCGGGATGTATATACACAGTATCATTAACCATCCAGGATTACGTGAACATACTCAGGAGCACTTTGAGCGTTAGATTCAATATTTGGTTGTAATATCGCAGGAGGTGATTTCATTGTGCTAGAAGCATCAAGGAGCTCATTATTAGATGCGATGGTCCCCTGAATCCTACCTTTACATAAGCCTAGAGGTAACTGACATACACCCAATAGTTACGCGAATATCTCAGAGCCTAAACCTACAGGCAAAACAGCCACGTCTACACTGCATGAGGCACGTGAATTTTAGGTAGTGATTATGAAATAATGGTGTTCTTTCGACATCCTACCCAAGAGAAAAGCCAAGTTTTAGGGCACAAATACACTGTTTGTAATTCGCATAAGTATCCGAATAAATTCTCTGCTTTTGACTTCTGCGTCATGGTTGCGTCTTCAGCCTCAAAAAATTTGGTTGCCTAGATCTAAATAAAGGGCAGTGCTTTTGCCATAAACTAATTCTTCGTTTAGCTCTTTGTCGAAATGCCTACCCACAGATTCTTGATACATCTCATAAGATCACATATTCCGCTTTTCCCGATCTCTGAATGTTACTTTTGACTGAACCAAAGTTATCTGCTTCATAATAATTTTTACCGGAGTGCTAATATATTCCGTTAAATGTTTCCTGCACAATCTTTCTATAAAATCAGCACTTCTTCCATTGGTATTCGCTACTGCCATAGGGTCTGGGTGTACAAAAACTAATGATCATATTTATTTCCATAGCACAGTACATAGGGGACTCCATTTTACAAGCACCTCCAGATGATAACAAGTAATATAACCACATAATACAATTGGATCTAACAAACAGTAGTTTGGGTATACTTTACAGGTTCATGGGCAAATACACAGTCATTGTACTAATATTAATCTCAATAGAAATAGACAACATTCGTGTGTGCAAACAGTTGTTTTGATGTACTCAAAGTCAACTTTGTTTGTGCGAACCAAAGTTGTAGTATGTGATGGCATTTTAATGTGTCAGTTACAAGCTGTCGTAAGCTACTGCTTTTAATAAGTAAAACAAGTAATTCCTCGAGTTAAATTACTTTTCCATTGCAACCATCGCAGATTTTATGGTAGGGCAAATATGGCTGGCATTATTCATCACAAGTTCAGAATTTCATCCCCAGAGTTGTATGGCTCCTTCTTGTATATATCCAGTTGGTGTATTTTTTAATGACATATTATGCTGCTTACTTTCTCAAGGAGTTTCATCCCTATGAAATAGCTCTCAGTCAAGCGTGGGTGAAGTATTTGCCTGAATACGGGTTGGCTGTAAGTCGAGTACAACGAAATTTGCGATACGCGTCCAACCTTGAGTATGGCTTTACAATTCGACAATAAAATGATATTGTTCTGATAACTTATATTACAAATAAACTCTTTGGATTGTTGAGAAAATGCAAGCTTATCGATACTTCTCGAAATGAAAGTATATATTGTTTGACCATGCCCGCAGAGATGGTATGCCTCTCATATGCAGTTATTCAGCTGCTTAATCAATGATACTTCTCTGCATGTTTAACTAAATACTAACTGCTGTGGTGAGCCTCTTGCAGATTATATTGTTTAAAACACCGT